GATACATAGAGACCTATAGAGATATAGAGACCCATAGACACCCATATATAGAGACCTATATAGATACATAGAGACCCATAGAGATACATAGAGACCCATATAGATACATAGACACCTATAGAGACCTATAGAGACCCATAGATACCCATATAGATTAATAGAGACCTATAGAGATACATGGAGACCCATATAGATTAATAGAGACCCATAGATACCCATATAGATTAATAGAGACCAATAGAGACCCATAGATACCCATTTAGATTAATCAATACCCCGGGTCAGTCTAGTCTCCCTTAGCCCCCGTAGCACTGGGTAACCTCACCCGAGGTTCTTGTGAGAGCCGGGGTTGTAGCGAAACCGGCGGTGAGTCCTGTAGACCCCTGGCTAGGCTGGGCCAGCTTAGTCTCCGCTAGCCCCTGTAGCCCTGGGTACCCTCAACTGAGGTTCTTGTCAGAGCCGGGGTTGTAGCGGAACCGGCGGTGAGACCCATAGACCCCGGCTAGGCCGGCTCAGCTTAGCCTCCCTTAGCCCCCGTAGCCCTGGGTACCTCTCACCAAGGTTCTTGTCAGAGCCGGGGTTGTAGCGGAACCGGCGGTGAGTCCCGTAGACCCCTGGCTAGGCTGGGCCAGCTTAGTCTCCGCTAGTTCCCGTAGCCCTGGGTACCTTCACCGAGGTTCTTGTCAGAGCCTGGGTTGTAGCGGGACCGGCGGTGAGTCCCGTAGACCCCCAGCTAGGCCGGCTCAGCTTAGCCCCACCCCTAGTTCCCGTAGCCCTGGGTAACCCTCACCGAGGGTTTTGTCAAAGCCGGGGTTGGAGCGGAACCGGTGGTGATTCCCGTAGACCCCCGGCTAGGCCGGCTCAGCTTAGTCTCCGCTAGCCCCCGTAGCCGAGGACCCGTGAGAGCGTCGCCCTGAGTCTGTGGGGCTCCGCTAGTTGGGGACGCTCCACTCCACCCACAACACCTGCCCTGGCTCTCCCGGAAGGACCCAGGGGGTATGGATCCCTCCAGCCGCCGGAGGCTTCTAACCAAGAACCTCGCAACAGGTCGTGGGTCTTGTTCCCTGGGCAAAGCTCGCGTAGGTCCGCGAAAAACGAGAAACGAGAAACGAGAAACCAGTCACGGCGTCTCGATCGACAACGCAGGCGACCGGCACCGGGCGCGGATCGATGCGGCAGGGTGACCTGCCGATTTTAGCAGAGGGATCAGCCCAACAGCGAGGGCTCATCAAGGCCCTTCTTCGGCTCTTTCGGCGAGAGTCACCCACCCACGTAGAATGAAAGAATGAAAGAATGAAATAATGAAGAGACGGTTAAAATTTCTCGCGACGTTTCGGGCCACAGCGCAAGTGGCCCTCTTCAGGTGAAGCGACGGAACTGTCGGGAGGACAGGGCTCCAAATCATCGCTGCTGAGATTCGCGGCGGCTTTTGAGCTCGGTGAGAGGCGTGAAGACGCCTTGGCAAAGGAGTTTACGTATCAGAGCAGGAGAATTTCGCATTGAAAGGGCCCGAGGATTTACATTATGAGACCTCCCTTGCCAGTAACAAGATATAGGAATAGGTTTTTACCCTTTTAACCAGCGCAAAAACTGACGCCTTTACTCAAGGCATCATGTTTGCAATAACCACAACACAAGCAGTCAAAATGCAAACAAAAGAGACAACTCTGATAATAATATTGGCACTGTCCTTGAATTTGATTGGTCCACACCCGAGACGGCTTTTCTTAGAGCCTAGTCTCCATTGGTGTTGGACCAGAAGACGCCAAAAGGCGTACAACTCAAAAACAGCGCACTATCAGAGCATTGAGGGCTCGGGGTGAGCATTTACATTATGAGACCTCCTTTGCCAGGAACAAGATATAGTAATAGGTTTTTACCCTTTTAACTGGCACAAAAACTGACACCTTTATTCAAGACATCTTCTTTGCAATAACCACAACACAAGCAGTCAAAATGCAAACAAAAAAGAGACTAGGCTCTAAGAAAAGCCGTCTCTGGTGTGGACCAATCAAATTCAAGGACAGTGCCAATATTATCAGAGTTGTCTCTGATAGTGCGCTGCTGTTTTTGAGTTGTACGCCTTTTGGCGTCTTCTGGTCCAACACCAATGGAGACTAGACTAATTTTATTGTTTTATATTTTTTATTTTATTGTTTCCCTTCTAACGTGGTGGTGACTTTACCGAAAGAACCAAGAATAATAATTTTATTGTTTTACAATAATTTTATTGTTTTATATTTTTATTATTTTATTGTTTCCCTTCTAACGTGGTGGTGACTTTACCGAAAAAAAACCCCCAATAATATAATGGCACGGTACACTACTATCAGCAATGTGTGGTGTGTTGTTTGTCAGTGTTGTGGTCAGCATGCGGTGTAGAGGTGCAGCGTGATTCCTCGTCAAAGGGGTTTCAAATTCTTGGCTCTCTCGGTAGAGTCACCACGTTGAAGGGAAACAATAAAATAATATATATAATATTCTTGGTTCTTTCTGTAGAGTCACATTGAAGGGAAACAATAAAAAATATATAAAATATTCTTGGTTCTTTCGGTAGTCACATTGAAGGGAAACAATAAAATAATAATAAATATATATAAAATATTCTTGGTTCTTTCTGTAGAGTCACATTGAAGGGAAACAACAATGAAATAATATATATAAAATATTATTGGTTCTTTCGGTAAAGTCACGTTGAAGGGAAACAATAAAATAATAAAATAAATATATAAACTATTCTTGGTTCTTATATATAAAACAAAATATATATAAAATATAAATAAAACAATAAAATAAATATAAAAACAATAATAAAAATTCTCACGACCTTTCGACCGTAACACAAACGATCGTCATCAGTCACGAACGCTTTCAATCAAAGGGGTTTTTAGTTTGGTTGCCAGAGCACAAACTTGGAATATAAAAATAAAATCTCTTCTCACGTTTTGGATTCACTGACAAAATCAATTCCCCCTGCAATCGATTCCAAATGAAGTTTAAGTTTGCTGCCGATTCCTCTGGAGTCGACGATTCCCTACCTAACAGGAGTTTGTTTCCTGAAGTCTTCTTGAGTCAAGAAATAATTAAAAAAACCGATTTGGAATCGAATTTTTTTTCAAAACAAAAATTCGATTGAAATCGTATTAACAAAAATCCGTAATCGATTCCGATATCGTTGAGGCCGGAGCGTCTCGAAAATGTTCGATTCCACCGTCATCGATTCCCGCTAACTACAACACGACCAACCAATCGATTCCCGCAATCTTCGAATCTCCAATCCGATTCCCCCTATTTCCTAAATTACCAACTCATCGATTGCCCCTGTATCCAACACTCTCTACCAATCGATTCCCCCTATCTACAACACTTCAGACCAATCGACTCCGCCCCCATCCGATTCCCCCTATCTCCAACACTACCCACCGATCGATTCCCAATTATCCAATTCCCTCTACCGATTCCGCCTTTATCCAAAATTACCAACTCATCAATTCCTCCATATCAACACTATTTAGGACACGATTCCCCGTATCCGATTCCCCCTATCTCCAACACTGCCAACCAATCGATTCACTCAATTTCTTATTCACCACAAATCGCCAACAATTCTCACTAATCGATTCACCATATCCGATTCACCCTATCCGATTCCCCTATCTCCAACACTAACAACAAATAGATTCCCACTAATCCAATTCCCCCTACCGATTCCACCTTTTTCCAAAATTACCAACTCATCGATTCCCCCAATTTCAACACATCTAGGAAACGATTCCCCCTATCCGATTCCCCCCATCTCTAACACTACCAACCGATCGATTCCCACTATTCCAATTACCTCTACCGATTCCGCCTTTCTCCTAAATTACCAACTCATCGATTCCCCAATTTCATCACCATCTAGGAAACGATTCCCCCTATCCGATTCCCCCCTATCTCCAACACTATCAACCAATCGATCCACTCAATTTATGATTCACCCTTTCCGATTCCCCCTATCTCCAACACTACCCACCGATCGATTCCCACTATTCAAATTACCCCTACCGATTCCGCCTTTCTCCAAAATTACCAACTCATCGATTCCCCTATATCAACACTATCTAGGAAACGATTCCCCCTATCCGATTCCCCCTTCTCCAACACTAACACCCAATCGATTCCAACTTATGCGATTCCCCCCTATCTCCAACACTACCCACCGATCGATTCCCACTATTCAAATTACCCCTACCGATTCCGCCTTTCTCCAAAATTACCAACTCATCGATTCCCCTATATCAACACTATCTAGGAAACGATTCCCCCTATCCGATTCCCCCGTTCTCCAACACTAACACCCAATCGATTCCAACTTATGCGATTCCCCCCTATCTCCAACACTACCCATCGATCGATTCCAACTTATCCAATTCCCCCTACCGATTCCGCCTTCCTCCAAAATTACCAACTCATAGATTCCCCAATTTCATCACCATCTAGGAAACGATTCCCCCTATCCGATTCCCCCTATCTCCAACACTACCCACCGATCGATTCCCACTATTCCAATTACCCCTACCGATTCCGCCTTTCTCCAAAATTACCAACTCATCGTTTCCCCAATTTCATCACCATCTAGGAAACGATTCCCCCTATCCGATTCCACCTATCTACAACACTACCCACCGATCGATTTCCACTAATCCAATTCCCCCTACCGATTCCGCCTTTCTCCAAAATTACCAACTCATCGATTCCCCCTATATCAACACCATCCAGGAAACGATTCCCTCTATCCGATTCCCCCCATCTCCAACACTACCAAGCAATCGATCCACTCAATTTCTAATTCACCCTTTCCGATTCCCCCTATCTCCAACACTAAACACCGATCGATTCCAACTTATCCAATTACTCATACCGATTCCGCCTTCCTCCAAAACTACCAACTCATCGATTCCCCCTATATCAACACCTTCTAAGAAACGATTCCCCCTACCGATTCCCCCTATCACCCAACACTACCAACCGATCGATTCCCGTGTGACCCCCACGAGGAGAATCGGATCGCCTCTCCCCACCCACACTCCCTCTCCCGTCATGGCCGCCCCCGTTCGGCGTCTTCGCTCCGCTGCGGAGTTTGAGGCGGCGCTGAGGGCGGCGGAGGCGAAAATCGTCCTCGTCGCCTTCACCGCACACTGGTGAGGATTACTGTAGATAGACACACATAGACACACACATAGATAGACACACACATAGACACACACATAGACACACACACATAGACACACACATAGACACACACACACATAGACACACACATAGACACACACATAGACACACACACATAGACACACACATAGACACACACATAGACACACACATAGACAGTCCTCGTCGCCTTCACCGCACACTGGTGAGGATTACTGTAGACACACACATAGACACACACATAGATAGACACACACATAGACACACACATAGACACACACACATAGACACACACATAGACACACACACATAGACACACACACATAGACACACACACACATAGACACACACACATAGACACACACACATAGACACACACACACATAGACACACACAGATAGACATAGACACATAGACACACACACATAGACACACACACATAGACACACACACACATAGACACACACACATAGACACACACACACATAGACACACACACACATAGACACACACACATACACACATAGACACACACACATAGACACACACACATAGACACACACACACATACACACACACATAGACACACACACATAGACACACACACACATAGACACACACACATAGACACACACACATAGACACACACACACATAGACACACACATAGACACACACATAGATACATACACAGATAGACATAGACACACACACACATAGACACACACATAGATACATACACAGATAGACATAGACACATAGACACACACATAGACACACACACATAGACACACACATAGACACACACACATAGACACACACACATAGACACACACACATAGACACACACATAGACACACATAGACACACACACATAGACAGACACATAGACACACACACATAGATAGATATACACATAGACACACACACACATACACACACACACATAGACACACACACATAGACACACACACACATAGACACACACATAGACACACACATAGATACATACACAGATAGACATAGACACACACACACATAGACACACACATAGACACACATAGACACACATAGACACACATAGATACACATAGACACACATAGACACACACATAGATACACATAGACACACATAGACACACACATAGACACACAGACACACATACACATAGACACACATAGACACACATAGATACACGTAGACACACATAGATACACATAGACACACACATAGACACACACACATAGACACACACATACACACACACACATAGACACACACATAGACACACACATACACATAGATATACACATACACATAGACACACACATACACATAGATACACATAGACACACACATACACATAGATACACACATACACATAGACACACGTAGACACACATAGATACACATAGACACACATAGATACACATAGACACACACATAGACATAGACACACATAGACGCATAGATATACACATAGACACACACATACACATAGACACACACATACACATAGATATACACATAGACACACACATACACATAGATACACACACACATAGATACACATAGATACACATAGACACACATAGATACACATAGACACACACATACACATAGACACACATAGACACACAGACACACATAGATACACGTAGACACACATAGATACACATAGACACACATAGATACACATAGATACACATAGACACACACATACACATAGACACACATAGACAGACATAGATACACGTAGACACACATAGATACACATAGACACACATAGATACACATAGATACACATAGACACACACGTAGATTTACGCATACACATAGACACACACATACACATAGATACACATAGACACACACAGACATAGATACACAAAGACACACACATGGACATAGATATACGCATACACATAGACACACACATAGACATAGATACACATAGACACACAGACATAGATATACGCATACACATAGACACACACATACACATAGACACACACATACACATAGATACACATAGACACACACATAGATACACACATAGATACACCCACAGATACACACACAGATACACACACAGACACACACATAGATACACACGTAGACACACACGTAGATACACACGTGGATACACACATGGGTACACATAGATACACATAGATACACACATAGATACACATAGATACACACATAGATACACACGTGGATACACACATGGGTACACACATAGATACACATGTAGATACACACATAGATACACACATAGATACACATAGACACACACATAGACACACACGTAGATACACATAGACACACACATAGATACACACATAGATACACATAGATACACATAGAGACACACGTAGATAAACACGTAGATACACACGTAGATACTCACACATAGACACATAGATACACACATAGATACACACGTAGATACACACATAGATACACACGTATATACACACGTAGATACACACGTAGATACACACGTAGATACACACATAGATACACACACAGATACACACACAGATACACACACAGATACACACATAGACACACACATAGACACACACATAGATACACACATAGATACACATAGATACACATAGATACACACATAGATACACATGGACACACACGTAGATACACATAGACACACACATAGACACACACATAGACACACACATTGATACACACATAGATACACGTAGATACACACATAGATACACACATAGACACACACATAGATACACACATAAATACACACATAGACACACACATTGATACACACATAGATACACACATAGATACACACAGATACACACATAGATACACACATAATTACACACATAAATACACACACAGACACACACAGATACACACATAGATACACACATAGATACACACATAGATACACACATAGACACACGCATAGATACACACGTAGATACACACGTAGATACACACGTAGATACACACGTAGATACACACATAGACACACACATAGATACACACATAGATACACACACAGATACACACACAGATACACACACAGATACACACATAGATACACACACAGATACACACGCAGATACACACACAGATACACACATAGATACACATAGATACACACATAGATACACACATAGATACACATAGATACACACATAGATACACACATTGATACACACATAGATACACACATAGATACACACGTAGATACACACTTAGATACACACACAGATACACACGTAGATACACACTTAGATACACACATAGACACACACATAGATACACACGTAGATACACACATAGATACACACATAGATACATACATAGATACACACATAGATACACATAGATACACACATAGATACACATAGATACACACAGATACACACAGACACACACATAGACACACACATAGACACACACATAGACACACACATAGACACACACATAGATACACACATTGATACACATAGATACACACGTAGATACACATATAGATACACACATAGATACACACATAGACACACATAGATACACACATAGATACACATAGACACACACAGACACACACATAGACACACACAGATACACACGTAGATACACATAGACACGCACATAGATACACACATAGATACACACATAGATACACGTAGATACACACATAGACACACACATAGACACACACATAGATACACACAGATGGATAGATATACACATAGATACACACACATAGATACACACACAGATACACACATAGATACACACAGATAGATAGATACACACATAGATACACACAGATACACACAGACACACACATAGACACACACATAGACACACACATAGATACACACATTGATACACATAGATACACACGTAGATACACACATAGATACACACATAGATACACACATAGACACACATAGATACACACATAGATACACATAGACACACACATAGACACACACATAGACACACACAGATACACACATAGATACACACATAGACACACACATAGACACGCACATAGATACACACATAGATACACACATAGATACACGTAGATACACACATAGACACACACATAGACACACACATAGATACACACAGATAGATAGATATACACATAGATACACACACATAGATACACACACAGATACACACATAGATACACACAGATAGATAGATAGATACACACACAGATACACACATAGATACACACATAGATACACACATAGATACACACATAGATACACACATCGATACACACATCGATACACACATAGATACACACGTAGATACACACACATAGACACGTAGATACATACATAGATACACACATAGATACACACATAGATACACACGTAGATACACACGTAGATACACACATAGATACACACAGATACACACACATAGATACACACATAGATACACACGTAGATACACATAGATACACACATAGATACACACACATAGATACACACACAGATACACACATAGATACACACAGATAGATAGATACACACACAGATACACACATAGATACACACGTAGATACACACGTAGATACACACGTAGATACACACACAGATACACACATAGATACACACACATAGACACGTAGATACACACATAGATACACACATAGATACACACATAGATACACACGTAGATACACACATAGATACACACAGATACACACACATAGATACACACATAGATACACACATAGATACACACGTAGATACACGTAGATACACACGTAGATACACACATAGATACACACATAGATACACACGTAGATACACACGTAGATACGCATAGATACACACGTAGATATACACACATAGATGCACACATAGACACACACATAGATACACACATAGACACACACATAGACACACACATAGATACACACGTAGACACACATAGACACACACATAGATACACACATAGATACCCA